CAGTGTCACTGGCCCTCATATGTGGGATCCGAACCGGGGCCCTCTGGCGTCCCAAGCCAGTTCTTAACCATCGCGCCACTCGGCCGGCCCCTCTTGACATATTTGAAACTCAGAGTCCTTTCTCCCAAGAACACTGCAGTCCCAGCACCTTCACCCACCAGCATCAGCAGCCTGTCACCCAGGCCCAGGCTTTCCCAGCTTCTCCGGCTTCTGGTCCCCAGCTGCTTTCAGAAACACCACTGCCATTTCCAGAAAGGGGGCCTCCCTTCCCCATGAAGTGTCAGAAACTGGATCCCGGTGGAATCACTGGAGGACTCTCTCACTGTCTCCAAACTCCACCCTCAATCCCCAGATGCTCCCTGGATCCTGGGATGTCTAAAGCCCTCTCAATCACTGAGCACCTCCCTCTCTGCTCAGTCCCTGAATGTTTGTCTGCTTCCAGGTTCCCTCCGGGCTTGAAAGCAAGATCTTCCCTGTGCTGTCCTGGAATCTGGTCCTGGACCCAATGCCCCACCTCATGGAGTGCTCCCCATCTGAGTTCTCCCCATTAGCCAAAACACTCCCACTCTTTTTTCTAAATTAATGTATAATTGCCGTATAAAATTATATTAGCTTCAGGTGTAAAACATAATGATTAAATATGTTGCAAAATGATTACCACAGTAAATCTAGTTAACATCTGTCACCACATATGAAATCTGACAATTATGTTCGTGAACCTTTTGCAATGATATTGCTAACCTTTTTTGATACCAGGGGGATTATGCATTATGAATTTGTACCAACTGGGCAAACAGTTAACCAAGTTTACTATTTGGAAGTGATGAAAAGTCTGCGTGAAAAAGACGAAATCAAACTGAACTTTTCGCCAACAATTCACGGCTCTTGCATCACGACAATGCACCAGCTCACACAGCACTGTCTGAGGGAGTTTTCAGCCAGTAAACAAATAACTGTATTGAAACACCCTCCCTACTCACCTGATCTGGCCCCTGTTGACTTCTTTCTTTACCTGAAGATAAAGGAAATATTGAAAGGAAGACATTTTGATGACATTCAGAACATCAAGGGTAAAATGATGACAGTTCTGATGGCCTTTCCAGAAAAAGAGTTCCAAAATTGCTTTGAAGGGTGGGCTGAGCACTGGAGTCAGTGCATAGTTTCTTAAGGGGAGTACTTAGAAGGTGACTGTGGTGATATTAAATAAGGTATGTAGCACTTTGTCCAGGATGAGTTCGCGAACTTAATTGTCAGACCTAGTATAATTACAAAAAATGTTTTCTTGTGATGAGACCTTTTAAGATTTATTTTCTTAGCAACTTTCCAATACATAGGGAGTATTTTTAACTATAGTCACCATGGTGTACATTACATCCCCATTGCTTATTTATTTTATAAGTGGAAATTTATACCTTTTGACCCCCTTCACCCATTTGCCAACCCTCCTCCACCTCTGGCAATCACGAATCTGTTCTCTGTATCTATGACCAAAGTTTCTGTTTTTGTTTTAGCTTCCACATATGTGAAAGAACTTTGTATATGTTTTTCTCTAACTTATTTCACTTGAAATAATGCCCTCAAAGTCCTTCCATGTTGTCGCAAATGAAAAATTATCATTCTCTTTATGGATGAATAATATTCCACTGTATGTATAATCCACATTTTCTTTTTCTATTTATGCATTGATGGTTACTTAGGTTGTCTCCATGTCTTAGCTGATCCAGACCATTCTTAACCTGGATTTACACTGGAGTCTACGAGGTCAGACTCTTCAAAGCCCTGGTTTCCAGTGAACTCCTTGCCATGAGGAGACTGAGTTGTCCCATCCCCTCAAGATGCTCATTGAAACAGCTGGCAGGTTGGCATATGTGTAAATATTTTTTAAAATAGGCTTTATTTTCTAGACCAGTTTTTGGCTCACAACAATATTGAGCAGAAGATTCATTGATTTCCCATATACCCTTGCCCCCACATGGGCACAACCTCTCCCATTGTGAACATATGTATAAATATTTTAAATATAGTATATAGTGTTAAAAGCCTATAGTTATATCTGGATATTTGAAAATCCCTGGGAATTGCAAATACCAAATTATAGCATGTTGTTTCAGTGTATATAAATGAGATTAAAATAAAGATGCTGAAGAATAGTAAACACCCAATAAAACACTCCATCAGTTGGGGAGGGGCAGTGATGAGATCACGTATGACTAGATTAGGCTGATTGAGTTATCCGGAAGGGAAGTGCTGGAGGGGGACAAAACCCAGCAAAAGGGATCTTCCCCTCAGTGGCCTCCTTCCCCAGTCATCTTGGAAACCTCTCTGTCTCCTGTGTCATTTGTCCAGCTTCAACACATCTGAAAGACTACTGACAGACAGCAAGACAACAGGTTAGTTTCCATTATTTTACCATCAGTTTACCCCTGAGAAATAGAAGAGTGGGAAAAGTCCATAGAGGGCCATTTTAGGTGTTGAAGTGAGTTAGATAAAAGGCAGGACTGGCTGCAGAGGCAGGACTGGCTGTGAAAGATGAAAGGAAGGGCTGGCTGCAGAACAAGAAATCTAAGCCCTTTTTGAAACTTGTCCTTGAAACTTATCACCAGACCCCAAGACAGGATAAATGGTTAATAATCTGGGAGCTGCTGAGACCAGCTGTCACCAGCTAGAACCAACATGGGGAAGGATTTCACCTGGCATGGAGTGACCCTAGGACTCATTATATGCTCATTATAATACATTAGCACGGTAAAAGACACATTCAGCGCCACCACTGTTAGAAATTGAAAGACCATAAAAGGTCACAAAATGGCCCACAGAGACCTTTTGAGAACTCTCCACCTGCACTTCCCAGAAAACCCCTGACTATTCCTCCTGCAAATTTAAATGTACAGCCCCTTAACTTAAAGGCATACCAATAATAGGCTCAAAACACCAGCAGGAGTGCTGCTGCTCTGTCTATGGAGTAGTCTGCTTTTCCTTTTTCCTCCACTTAAATAAACGTATCCTTGCTTTACTTACTTTTCGGCTAGTCCTTGAATTCTTTTCTACACCCTGCAAAGAACCCAATGGTCCAGGCCCCTCCTCTGGGCCTCCCTGGGCAGAGGCATCGCCTAGCCCCCTGCAACAGAAGTAAGGATACTTAATTGTTTAACACTATTTCTTAGCACAGAGCCTGATTAAAAAAATATTTCAAAAATGTTCTTTTTAGACGAAGGTAAAAATTTCTAAGGAATGGTCACCCAGCACCTGATTTGAGTGGGGTGGTGGCTGAGCAGTCATGGAGCCCTGAAGCCTTTCATGAAGGGCTTTTAAAAACTGTAAGTGATTAACTAATTTATCTTTTATTCCAATGTATTCATGAGAACTTATTTCGGGTTATGGAAATTCAGGACCCTGACCCTAAACCAGTAAATAAAACAGAGAAGCACCTCATTTGTGCAGTCTCCAGTCCAACATGGAGGCAAGAATGTTTCTAGCTTAATTTGTGGTTAGGACATGCTTCTTCATTGCTCGATTTTGGTCATTTAAAATGAAGAGCAAAACATACTTTTTGTACATTTTCCAATGTTTGTCCCAAGATTAGGCATAGCATTTCCAGATCATTTCTTCCCTGTTTCTATGGCAAAATTATCTTTTCTTTTTTGTACTATAATCCATTATGATTAATTTTATCTTTTTATGACAGCTTGTGGCAATGTATTCTATTTCTGATTTCAAAGAAATATATTTTCCTGATATATTCTATTTATTTTTCCGCTAGTTCCTATTTATTTTTTTATTAACTAATACCATCTTTTTCTTCCTTTTGTAATATTTTACTTTTATGAATCCAGTTTCTTAGTGAACTTTTCTTATAAATTGTATGTTATAATGTGTCAATTTAGACTAAGCAATTTTCCCTGAACACAGGTTTTGCCCAGGTCCTAAGTTTTGACATAAAGTGCTTTATCTTTTATTTTCTTCTTTATGATTTCCATTTGAATTACATTTCTGATTTTAGGAATTTCATTTCATCCACCCACAGGTGAAGTGCAAGAAATGTGGGGCCTTTGGGCAGAGGGCCAGTAGCAGGATGTGCCCCGTGCAGTTCTGGAGTGGGGCCCTTGCCCCCAGCCCTTGGGCTCCAATAAAAAAGATAACCTGAAGCTCATGAAGGCCCAAGACCTCCAGACTCCAGGGTCCTGTCACAAGTTTGACAGAGACAAAGAACCAAAACAAAGGTGAGGAATATCTCAGGGTCAGTATGATCCCTGGACAATGGAACCTCAGGAGATGGTATCTCCCTCCACTTTTTCTGTGCAGCCATCTCAGGCAGAGACAGGAAAACTCGAGAGAAGTAGACAAGAGCTCTACACATTCCAGGGGTTACCACTCAGCTTGTTCTAGTAATGAGAATCATTGGGATGGGGCAGAGAATATCTTGGGGTGTTGCACATGGTAGGCTGAGAAGCAGTAGAGTCTAAATGAGAATATTGACTGCTGAAACCTCAGTAAAAAAGGGGGCCCTTCCTGGAAGTGGGGAGGCTAGCTCTCTGGTGATGGAAGGAGTTGCCTTTGCAGAGTTCACAGGGGCTTCAATGTCTCCCTCACCCCAAAACAAAGGCTGGGACTGGGCCCCAGGAGAGTGCTTGGTTCCCAGTCACTGGTGCGGATAGGGGCAGGTCAGAGGCATCCTGACCATTTTGATTTTTGACTTGTTCTGCAGGCAAGAAGAGCAGCAGAGAAAAATTCTACCACAGGAATTTCCTATGAGGCCCCGAGAGAAGCAACAGAGGACCTGGCAGGAATCCCCCGAATCAGGTGCCCTGCTCTGGCTCTCTTCTCTATCTGTTTCGCTTCACTTCTGTGCTCCTCAGGTGGGCAAGGTTATGTTAAAACCCAGGCTGGCTTATAGGAGTCATTTCATTTGTGTATTTTTCACATTCCAGTTTACTTGAATTTTTTTTTCTTTTGCTATTTGTGCAGTAGGTCAGCAAATGCTGATGGAGGCATTTCTGTGCACATGTGGTGTTTCCTCTGATGCCATCTATGATGTTGTATCAAGACAAGGCATCTTAAATTTTTGTAAATACTCCCAAATTGCCCTTTAAAAGGATAGTTGCTATTTACGCTCTCCACATTATGTGGGGAAATTTTCTTTTCCCCTTGGTTTCAATGAAAGGCAATATAAAGGAAAGTTTTAATTATCATATCTAATAGGCAAAATACTCATATTGGAATTGTAATCTTTCCCCTGACCACCACTGAGGTGGGTATCTCTGCAAATGTACAATGACAATTTGCATGTTTTTCTGTGAAATAAAATTTGTATGTATTGTCTGTTTAAATTGAGTTGTTTCTCTTTTTCTGCTAATGTAGAGAAATTTCTAGTGTGTATTTATTTTCCCATACTATATTAGTCTGCCATTTTTCCTTTACCGTAAGTTGCTTATTATTTCCACATTTTCTATGATAAGGTTGACTATATTAGTCCTTCACTGAATCCAGTTTGATAATTCTGACTCCTGAGGTGTCTAATATGAGGTTTCTTCTCCCACAGCATCTCACCAGGCCAGTGTCTGTCCAAACGACCAAGAAGACACCTGTGTTCAGCCCTGTTCTCCTAGGTCAGCCACCAGTCAAGACACCTGATGTGAGGTCATCCTGCTCTAAACAGCCTCTTTAGAAAGCACTTGAAGTGAGGTTTGTGGACCAGCCCAAAGATGTGAGATGGACTTTACTGGCTTGCCCCTCTGGAGAACTTCTGCCAGGACTCACTTCTCATTGCCAATTCCATAACCAGTAGGCCTGATGTTTTCTCCTGTCATGTTTCCTGAGCTGTCAAGAATATGTTAGTCCTGGGCCCTGTCTGTAATCCCCAGGTACAAGTCAAACATCCCCACGTGGACTCAAAGCCCCACACACAGCCAGCCACACAAAAGTGTAGTCAGAACTCTAAATTTGGCATAGAGGAATGCGTCGAGAGGTCTTTCCAGGTACCTACCCATCCAGATTTGCCAAAACACACCAAAAGCAAGCAAGGCTTGGCCTCCTCTAACACCCCTCCAGTTAAATTCTCAGTAACCTGGTCTGGGGGTTCTCTTAAATATAACATGAATTACAGGCATTTTGATTACATTTGTATGCATTCTCTCAAAACTACAAAGGTGTGAACATATGACAAAAGTCTTACCACATTCTTTAGGTTTTTGTACGTTTTTTTTCCTGTATGAAATCTCTGATGTACCTTAAGGTTTGACCTTTGGGTAAAACCCTTACCACACAAATTACATTTGTGTGCTTTCTCTCCAGTATGTAATTTCTAATACTTAGTAAGTTTCCAAATAGGGTAAAAGTTTTGCCAACACTTACTACATTTATAAAGTTTTTCTCCAATATGAGTCCTCTCATGAGCCATAAGGTGTGAGCTTTTGCTAAGAGCCTTCCCACAGTCATTATATTTATAAGATTTTTCTCTTGTGTGTGTTCTCTTGTATTATGCAGGTAGCAAAAGATATTTTAAAGTCACCGTTGGAGCTGGCTGAGTGACTGTTAAGAGTTGCCTTAAGAGTGCAAGCTCTGAGCAATAGGGCTGCTGGTTTGATTCCCACATGGGCCAGTGACACTGCGCCTGAGCTGAGCTGTCGCGAAGCTGCCAACAGGACAGGTTGGCTCAGCTAGTGTAACAACAAGATTGTCTGTTTGATGGTGGGCTATGTCCATCCGCAACTAAATTGAACTCTGCACCTTGAGCTGAGCTGCCACCCGGATGGCTCAGTGGATAGAGTGTGCGCTCTTAACAAGGCTGCTGGTTCGACTCCCACATGGGATGGTGGCTACACCCACTTGCAACTAAGATTGAACACAGCACCTCGAGCTTAGAGGCCACGAGCTGCCGACAGGAAGCCAGATGGCGACTGGCACCCTCCACAACGAAGATCGAAGAACAACTTGGCCGGTCCCCTCCCCCAATTCCCCAACGCTGTTCCCCTCCCCCAATTCCCCAATAAAACCTAAAAAAAAAAAAGAAAGAAAAAAAGAAAGAAAACTATCATAGTTTCATTTATAAAAATTTTAAAGGATATTATTCACATAGTGGTGATTATGTAAAAATATATTTATGGCTCTCGAATAGTTTTTAAATTGTTGTGAGGGACAGGATTGGCTCTTCCAGGGGTCGGCAAACTTTTGAGATGGAATGCACCCAAAGAGCCACGTGTGGCTCGCAAGCCCCAGTTTGCTGACCCCTGGAGTGGATTCCACTAGAGAACAGAACCAAGGCGCTGTCCACAATCAGGTTCTTGAATTCAAATTTGTGGACTTTAGCCTGCACCCAGTGAAATAAAGGAAGAGATAATGGTAAAGAAGAAAGTCCCCAAGATTCTGAATGTAGCCTGTAACAAGATTCCTACTGCCAAATCCCTGGCGGCCATCCTGTCAGCTCTCATGGCAGATATCTGTCTTCTGAGCTAGAGGACCTTGTATGGGAATATCAGTTGTAAGCCACATGCATCATGTCAGCTGAAACCCAACGTTCTCCACTTACCAACAGTTCCTACCTGAAATAATGACTTAAAAGTTTTTCTGTCATTTAGAGGCTTCCAAGAATTGAATGTAGAGCCATTAAAAAACACTTCCAAAGTATGAATCACTGCTGTGGAGGCCACACACGTGGTAGTTTCTTTGTTCCTCATAAATTCATGAGGCAGCACTATCGCATGTCTCGAAAAGATGAGGACAACATAGGCACAGAGAGGTTATGGGTTTCATCTAAATTCACTCACTAGTTAGGGGCAGATTGGGATTTGAACCTGGCTGGGGTGGTAACAACGATAGATTATTTAATCCATAATATACTAGTTAGCTGTGATCTTTATATAACTGGATCTAAGTTTAGTTTTCTTTTTGCACCTGGCCACTTCAATTTAGATTGGTGGTATTGTATTTTTAAATGTTGGTAATGACGGTTCCATCAATTTATGAAGACTTATTCTAGATGCAAATATAAACTTTGAATAAAGCGCTAGAGATCTGAATAAATATAGATGCATTGATTGCAGGATAAAACTGCAGGTACCTGCCCCATGACAAGCTGGATTTAGTGAATATGAGAATGGCTCAATATTAGCCCGGCAACAGAAGGACTCAGTTGCTTTATTCTGGAGCAAAAGTACAATGGCTGGAGTCACAGGACTCTGGGACAGGAAACAATTAGAAGTAGTATATGGAAGAAACAAAATTATTACTAACTTCAGATCATATACATATCTGTTTATTAATACCTAAGTTAGGTACAATTATTATCAGGAAAGAAAGATTTGTGTGAAAGATATTAAAATATAAGACACATGCAAAATTGAATGTTAAGGCAAAATTTGTGTATTGTATGAATGACAGATGTTTTCTGAATTGGTATTATAGTATTTAAAAGCAGCAGACTATCATAACCTCTAATGGAAAAGTATAATAAGCCAAAACTAGGGACACGTATCTTACTCAAAATTCCTTACATGGACCTGTCAAAACACTCACTTCAGGGCAGCCGGATGGCTCAGTTGGTTAGAGTGCGTGCTCTTAACAACAAGGTTGGGTTGCCAGTTCGATTCCTGCATGGGATGGTGAATGGCAACTGGGATTGGAGCTGAGCTGCACCCTCCACATCTAGATTGAAGGACAATAACTTGACTTGGAGCCGATGGGTCCTGGAAAAAACAGTTACCCAATAAAATTTTTTAAAAAACAACAAAAAAACCATTCACTTCAACCAAACTGATTCTTACACCTCTCTCCTAGTCTCATTTTGTGTGAGGATAAGAACTCTTTCTGTGGCCCCTTTTGTGAAGTGTGTTTTTCATTTCAGGGACAGTTGACATTCAGGGAAACAGCTATAGAATTCTCTCAGGAGGAGTGGGAATGCCTGGACCCTGCTCAGAGGGCCTTGTACATGGACGTGATGTTGGAGAACTACAGGAAACTGCTCTCCCTGGGCGAGGGTAACTTCCCTCCAATAGTCGGGGTCAGCCCTCGGGTATCTTTTCAGTTTTCTTTGTTTGTCTCCTAGGAACCTAGACATTGCTTGAGAGTGAAGGCCCTGTTTATTAAGAAATTAAAAGCTTCATGGTGTCTAAAGTTTAAACTTGCCCTTTCTCCAGATGATCTACCCATTTCATGATACATTGGGAATTGTTCTAGGGCTTAAGTATGCATAAAACCTTCTGACCAACTTAAAATATCCAATTCCCTTTTTTCTACCCCTGTGTTATTGATTAGGTCGTTCTTGGAAGAGAGCTAGGTATCTGTACATTATACTGTTCCCTATGCATTCAGAGGAGGCAAGCGGTGACTGGAGTTTTGAAATTGTTTCTCAGCTTTACTGAGGTATAATTAACAAATAAAATTGTAATATATTTAAAGTACACAATGTGGTGATTTGATATACATATACATTGTGAATGGATTACCATAATAAAGTTAATTAACATATTTACCTTTTGGGGGGGGCGGGGAGAACACTTAAGTTCTACTCTGTTAGCAAATTTCAATTACAGTATCATCAACTATAAGTACCATGTTATACATTAAATCCTCAGACCTAATCTTATAGCTAAAATTTTGTACCATTTTACCAATCTCTCCCCACTACCCCTACGCCCCAGTTCTGTTTCTAAACCTAATTTCTTCCCTTTTAGATCTCTTCCATTTTTGCCTCACAGCCATACTATAATTCTTATAGTTAAGAATGGAAAAGTATTGGGGCCTACCGGGTGGCTCAGTTGGTTAGAGCAGAAGCTCTGAGCAACAGAGTTACCAGTTCAATTCCCACGTGGGCCAGTGAACTGCGCATCAGCTGGGCTGCCGCTAAGTTGGTAAGAGCGTGTGCTCTTAACAACAAAGTTGCCGGTTCAACTCCCACATGGGATGATGGACTGCAGGCCATCCCCTCACCTCCGCCTTCCTGCAACTATTGGGTTGTCGGAAAAGTCATGACGCATTTTTGCAATGAAAAACATAGGAAAATACGTCATGACTTTTCCGACGACCCAATAGATTGAAAGCAATGACTGAACTTGGAGCTGAGCTTGCGCCCTCCACAACTAAGATTGAAGGACAACAACTTGAATTGGAATTGGAACTGATAGGTCCTGAAAAAACACAATGTTCCCCTTCCCCAATTCTTCAATGCTGTTCCCCTCCCCCAATTCCCCAATAAAATCTTAAAAATAAATAAATACATGAAGACAAATGAACAAATCATAAAAAAATCCCTCAGGGGCTGGCCGAGTGGCTCAGTTGGTTAAGAGCTCGCTCAAGAGTTTGAGCTCTGAGCAACAGCGGTTCGAGTTCCGGCCTGAGCTGAGC